TTAACTAAATCAATTAATATACGTAGAATCAACCAATACTGTACTATTCATGGCCGGAACCAAAATTATTTCCTTCGACTAAAAAGCTGTAAATCGAAATAGATTCGGCCCTCGTAGAATTTGTGCGCAGTTGAATAGAAAAGGACAGGAAATATATTTTTCGCTGAAACATCGTTGTACTATTATTTTAATATCAAAATGTCAGCCGTTAATTAAAGAGCGACATTTAAAATATAATTAAATCATTCGATTTTATAATTAATGTATAATAACGAATTTATATGAAAATTTATATATTCTGACGTCACAAAAATTCCAGGAATTCGGCGAACCTGCGAGTATAAAAGGGCGAGCGAAACCCATCTACAAGCAGAACAGTTTTCGCAGTCGAGCACGATAGAAGTCTCATTGATAAGAATACTCGGAACAATTTTCGCTGTACGAACCGAACTGATTCTAAGTTTTCGATTGGAAAGCGGGCATATGTCATTTGGATACTTGATCGCTGGGTTGTTTTAGCAGCTAGCGAATAGCGGGCTCCCCGTTCAAGCGGTCTTGTATCCGAAACTCCGTCAGGAGAGTGCTATGCTTAGCCCCAAGAAAGGCTAAGACATCAAACCGAGTGTTCTCAGCTATTCATACTTAATTTTCTGTCGAATTACTAACTCGCCTTCAGATTCTCGGAGCTCGCTCTGGGTAGTATCGTAGCTAGCTAACGTAGGCTCCCCATTTGAGCGGCTTGGTCTCTGAAGCCCGTGTTTTTTGAGTGGCAGTTAAGTAATCATGACTTACAAGTAGAGTCACTTTGATTTGCTACCCTGTTGGACGTATATTGTTCATCTGACTCTGGATCGTTGGGTTTTTTAGCAGCTAGTAAACAACGGGCTCCCCAATTAAGCGATCTGGTTTTGGGTATCAATGTGTGCTTTGACAAAAAGGGTCTTGGACAATTAATTGTCGAGTCAAATTATAAGAGTAATTGTTCCGAAGAAATAATTCATTAGATACAAATAAATTTTGGTAATTTGAGTTAATAAAAGAATACTGTTCTCACTCTAACGTAATTTCCGTAGTCGACTACACCACGTTAAAAAATAGATAAAACCTGTCTAATTTTGCGAAAGCGTATTTAGGTACACTTAGAGAATCACACTTAGGTCGGATTCCTCGCAGCGGTAGTCTATAAAGCGCTAATATTAATTAATTTCGTCAAAGAGCATTTATATGTATAAATCATAACCGTACAAATCAAGATACATCTTGTCATTGCGATAGCTTCGAATATATATAGAATATCAAATTTAGTTAATATTAGAAAAGCGAAGTTAGCTTTATCAGAGATCAGACTTAGGTACGATCCAATATAAAGTATTAACCTGCGAGTTTCATGTCACTATTATCTATTACGTATTGTTTAATTTTTCAAGTTCTGTTATTTCTATTCATTATTTCAAAGGCTATTTAATTCTTTGTTCTAATTAATCATTTATAATCTATATACTTTTCTTTATTTTATTGTTATTGTTATTTGTTAGTTCATGTCTTATCATTTTATTGAATAAACCTCATTGTTGAAAGATATTGACCTGTGGATTTCACTCCTTAACCGCAAACCACACGAATCCCACGATCTTTATTTGCAAAACGAGTCGTTCAGGGGGGTAAAAGCCGCTCTTTACCTTTCTAGTGCTTGTAACAAACTGAACTTAGGTTCCAGGGTCGTTACACATGGAACTTTTCACTGACAACTGGTATTGATATGTCTGCGAAAAGGTTGTTTAAAACCTCTACTGTTTTGAAAGTTATTGCATGAACATGTTCTTGTATATATCTTTCCTCTTCTTTTCTTTCGATGATTTGAAAAATTTATGTGAGTTTCTGAAGAAAAAAATGATTAAGAATATATTAAAAAATTGTAGGTCATGTTGACATTATGATAAGTAATAAATAAGCAAACCAATATTTTTATATAGTTATTATTAACATAAATATATGTATAGAATACAAAACATATTTACTTTAATACAACATTTATTAACAATGTAATCAATTCACTAATTCGTTTAATATAATTTGACCTGACGTGTAATCGCGTTTTTGCCGAAGGCGTTTAATGATTGGTCAATGTAATGTTTCCACGTATTAGTAAAAAGATACAATACTGAATTTCAATATTTAAACAAAATTAATAAGGAATAAAATTAATTAAAATTCAATGTAAGACTCATACATTTTACTATTAAATTTTGATTAGTTTAAACGTGTAAGGTAAATAGAAATGCTATTATTAATAAAATTTCCATTCAGTTGTTAATTGTCGGGATTTGTTTGAGCTTTGGGACATTAATTTTATCGATCCGTGATATGACGAATATCAATATGATGCTCTATAATTATGTTGCAAATGTATGTAGGGGCACATAACATACTTTCGGTCTTGAAAACATGATTCTATCACATTTAACAATTTGTAATTGTAAAAATCAAATATCGTAACTCTATATTTCATGATTGTTGGTTTTAAACATATTGTATTTTGAATTTTAGAAAATATCACATCTAATGACTTCTCTACTTGAATCTCGTTATGCAATAGTGGTAAAATTCCTAAATAATATAAATTATGTTCTATTTTCTTGTTATAATAAAGGACTAACTTCGTATTATATTATTTTTATGTGCCTTAATAAAAGACGATTTTCCTTTTATTATTATATACCTTAATAAAATAAGTATGTGCTTATGATAGAGAAGTTTGAAAACATTTACTTCGTTCTTTTTTATATGTTTATATTTGTTACTAGAAATTGTGTTTGCCAAATTCTATAATGATCTTTGTTGTCATTAGCTAGTAAAATTGAAAATATGTCAAGCTATATTTTCTGGAAAAATATTATTTCTCAATACTAGCTACCTACTAGATTTCCAATGATAGCTACTTAACTACAAAATATCATTCCAGGCGTTTTGGAAATTCTAATATCTTAAATGTAAAAAGCCAAACAAAGATTGTAGTTTATTATTATCGAATATCTAATACTAGAACATGCAGTTTTTATTTAATTTTTCTTTGTATCAGCTTTCAACGACTTTTGGTATATTGTAACCTAAACGAAAGTTGACGTCTGATAGTTATATGAAAAGCTAACTATAGTAAACTTCTCTGTAATGCGAGTTTTCAACACAAATTTCTATAACACCACAGTTATTGAGATTGCTGTTTCCATATGACGCGATTTTTTTATACCACACGTTCGGTAATAAAATACAGGAAACAATTAACTTATCCGATAAAACATAGAAAATAATGGTTCAATAATCACGGGAATAATTATTCCAATCATGTTACTTTATATTATTTGCGTTATACGAGAAGAATTTTCGATAATTATTTACTTTAGCAATTCGTCACTGATTTTGTTGACCTTGTAATATGTTATCAAGATCACTGTCTTGCACATATTTTCTCCATAGATCCGCTCGGCCTTGGTTTTCGAGATATTCACAAAAATAGTTTTATGCCTCGTTGTAAGTTAGAGATAAAATATTAAACTTTATTCTCAATTATTATCAAGAGAAATTGGCAAAAATGTCTGCTATTATTTAAAAAATATAGTTATTCTTGCTTTTATACTTTTGTCGAAACAAAACTTTAGCAGTACAACCGGTATAATGTTCTTACCGGGCCCCATGTCGTGGAATATTGTTCTTGTTCTTTTTTTCAACAACGTTCGACATTTCCAGTTTATGCACCACTGTCTGGATCAATGAAATTATCCTATGGTTCGCAGTTAAATGTTTATATCCTTCTTCACTGAGGCAATTACAAGGTTTCCATCGATTTGACATAAATGTAGAACCTTGTTTAATCTATTTTTTATTACACGAAGTAAAGCAGACGATCTCTTCGGAATTGGTTCAACGAATATAAACATTTATACATTCATTCGACGCCGCCAAAAATCCATTGTCTATTAAGAAGACCTCTTTTATTATATTTACACTACCCGAGTTTTGCCTCATCAATGTCAAGTATTACATTTTCACCTCCGATGTGGACTAAAGTTTTTCCATCCGTACATATAACTTACCGTAAAAACTTCCCCGGCCAACAACTGTTTTTAATGATAAACTAAGTCCTGTTTTTATAAAAAAAACGTGTCGTGATAGTCTGAGCGTTAAGTCGTATGCAACAAAATGGTAGATATTTTGAACAGAAAGATGCGATTATTCAAACCAAGAATTTTTGTATGCTAATTTTCACGTTGCGCTTTGAGACGATTCTTGTTTTAACTTTCAAAATGTAGAGTATGTAGATTCTTGATCAAATTTCATTTTGTTCCACACTTTATACAATTTGTAGCACTAAATTCGATTAATTTATCATAATCATTACGTACGTTCACAAATTTACAAAATTTGATTATATGTATTTTTCTTTGATTTCCAAACAGACTTATAAAACTTTACCTATAGCTACTTACATTTCAATTTTGTACAAACAAAATGTCATGCTTGTTAAGGTATTTATCTAGTCTAATTTAGGTTAAAGAAGCGATAAGTGGATAATGTAATTATGCTATTGGATTAAGTTAGGTTAAATTAGCTTAAATTAGGTTGTATTATATGAGACAATTATGCAACGCAGGCCATGCCAGCACGAAATGTAATTGCAACGTGAAACATAAATGAAATTTTCTAGAAATATCTCGAAAATAATGGCGAGGCGACGATAACATGCTTAGAGAAAAATTATTCAAAATAGTGGACCTGATAGCATATTTCTAGGTTATCGAAATCGACAAGTAATCGATAAAGTATATAATTACCTTCTATTGCGCTCCCGCACAATAAAATAAAGGTACAATTTTTTATATCACGCACATGGGCACAGGTAAAAAACAGACGCAAAAGATTAAATCATGTAAATCATTTTCTGCGAACTCAGGATAAGGTATACTTGTTCTCGATATCAAGTGACGATATAATATAATACTTACTTGGATCTCATCAGTAGTTCTGATGTCACTGCAGATAGTTTGACGGGTCAGTAAAGCAAGGAAGGGAGGGATGGATCACGGCCGGGCATGGGGGATGCGAAGGATAAAACGGAAAAAGAGGGAGAGATCCTGGTCGGCCGGCTATTCCGTAGACGGCACACTGTCTCGCAGGACACGTGATTCGACGCTTTCGCGAAATGTGTAACTCGGTGCTGTAACACGTCACAAGTTCGCCCCATTTCATTTCCTCTTTTTTTCTTATTTCGGTTCGCCCTGAGGCACCCACGAGATTTTCCTTGTGTTCCCGAGGATTCCCTTTCGTGCGCGTGAACACCGGCGCGCCTTTCCGGCCGCAACTTCCAGAACGAGTGACGCAAGTGAAGTGACACCGTCGATATTATATCGTCGGACGGGTCCCGTGTACAGAAGATTCATCGTTAGCCGGTAATTATTTCATATCAATCCTTCGAGCTATACTTAAGATTCCACAATCGAACGATCCGACGTAAGTGACATGTGATCGGCTTCTAAACAAGCCACTTGTGCTCTCTTTACTATTGTGCCCGGTGATTATGAAAGTGGTCCAAGGCAAAAACCAAACAGAATTCGGTTTTTTCGCGTATTACGTTTAAGGTGACTATCCGTACAGTATTGCTTCTTTGACAATCCTATCGCATCATTTTTCTGTACTGATTTTGCTTTTAGAGCATGCCGATAATTTATTACGCAAATACTGTATACCCGTTTATTACGCCCGATTTTTTGTACTCAAGATGAAACGTTATTTAAATTTAGTTTTTATAATTCAGATTCAATTTTAAAGAGCATTTGAATTTAGTCTTCATGATTTAGATAAAAATTCTAGCTTTATGTAAACTTAGATTTTATAAATGGGACGAAAGTTTTAATGAAATAATGTCTAAAATAAAGTTAAAACGTCATTTATCTAAGTAAAGATTTAGTTGTGTAGATTAAAATTTTAACTCTACTCCTTATTTACTTTGCTATTTTTCAATACAAGGTTCGACTTAACATGCAGTTTGAAATTAAATTATTTAAGTGGCGGAAACCGTTTACATGCGTTATAATAGTTTTTTTTTATAGCAACTTTAAAAATTAGGAGTTGCTTTATTTTCCTGCACTTTATTCCGTTTTTAAAAATGAAGGAACATAACATGAATTTGATTTAATTAGACGATTACTTTTTTGACATTTTATTTAAATAGCGTTGGGTGGAGTAGGATGTAAGTAAACTACTTTAGTTTAACTAAAGTTTAGGCTATTACTGTATAACCAGTGCGATGTTTGAGACAAATAAATTTGAAGATCAGATAATTCTTTGTATGACATATTTATAGTATATGGATAATATTTATATTGTTTTTGTTATCTCATTTATGTAATACAGTTACAATCTACAGTATTTTATTAACTATTTTTGTTGCAATCTACATAATTACAAACGTTTATATAATCAGAATAATAAATTTAGAGACATACAACGAAAAAAGGCTATTTTTAAATTTGATATCAACGTGATTTTTATGGTATAATCGAATATTTAGTAATTATTTATTTTCTACTAATTTGGCAAAATGATCATGGAACTTTAGACAGATATCAAACTACACTAGTCAAAAAAATTAAGGGAACAGAAAAATTTCTTAAATTTTTAGGTCATTTTCAAATTGATCTGCCTCCGTTGAAATTCATCACAGAAGACATCCAGAATAGTCATTTTGAAGCTTCAGGTCTCTAGTTTTCGACCCTTTATCTCAAAAATTTGTTGAGCCTATTATCATTAATAAAACATACAAAAAATCGCGATGAAAAAATTTTAGAATTTTTTTTCTTTTTTTTAAGGTTTATACAGACATAGAAAAATTTTTGTTTACCTATTCGTCAATACACTGGAAACCGATTTAGATTAGTCCAGGACAATGCTCGACCACATACAGCGAACGCTACAAAACGGTTCCTGTCGCAACACCGAATTAATACGCTACCACATCCAGCAATGAGCCCAGATCTCAATCCAATTGAACACGTTTGGGATATGATGGGGCGTCGATTGCGAACGGACTATCCACATTTACGGAATTTACGTGTGCTGGAAAATGCGCTTCTTCGAATTTGGAACCAAATTCCCTAAGCCGTAATACGGCGATGCATTAATATGCGTGAACATTTACAAGATGTAATTAACAACCGTGGTGGTAATACTCGATATTAAATTTACAAGTCCTCTAATTTTTATTGAAAAAACAAAATTACACTCACCCGCGCAGCGCAGACATTGCTGCAGACGCACATACCAGCGCGCGCCCACGTTCAGATACCTACATATACACGGCACACATATACACGAACTCACACACACAAGAGGAAGCGTAAATCCGACCTCCTCAGGCTAAAGCATTCTTTAAAAATTCAGCAATAGTACCGGAAAATGTAGAGGCACAAACTTTTTTATCCAACAAACGGATTAGTCGCGGATCGGAGCAGTAATGACGTTTCCTTAACTCTTTTCGTTTAAATTTCAAAGTTTGATCCATCGGTTTATAGGGAACAAAGAATCGGAGCCATTTGAAACTTCGCATACAATTTGTGGGCAATATGAGCTCAAGAAAAAACCTAGGCGTAATCATTGCAATACTTATTTACAAAGATACCGCAACTTTTGTAATTTGAGGAAAAAACACCGTTTTTTGACGTTTTTTTACATCAATATTAAGCATAAAAAAAAACCATATAATCAAAAACTGATATACCCATCTTAAAGGGTACTCTCTCCGCTTTCTGGAATCTTATTTACAATTTCTGTTCTATGGTGGGTTCATGAGATAATGACTATCAAAGGAAAAAGCGTCATTTCGGCTTTGGTAGCTCATAACTTTGTGACCTATCGTCGAAACGAACTTCATGGACGTGCAAATTATAGGGGAAGGAACAGGGAACAGCAGTCTAGAAGTGGTATTAATCAAAAAAATTTTTCTACGTCTGTACAAACCTTAAAAAAAAGAAAAAATATTCTAAAATTTTGTCATTGCGATTTTTTGTATGTTTTATTAATGATAATAGGCTCAACAAATTTTTGAGATAAAGGGTCGAAAACTAGAGACCTGAAGCTTCAAAATGACTATTCTGGATGTCTTCTGTGATGAATTTCAACGGAGGCAGATCAATTTGAAAATGACCTAAAAATTTAAGGAATTTTTCTGTTCCCTTAATTTTGTTGACTAGTGTATTAATATATCATATCACATGTCCTATTCCATTTTTTAACATTTACTTTAAATGTCGATAAACAATTTTAATATCAGCATGTACCATGTTTAATGCTCGAAGCTCATTGAATTATAATATACACCTAAGTCAAATGTAGGTTTTTTTGTTCGTAAAGTTTACCCACATATAACAGATTTTTTACGTAAATTTTTTTAATTGTGGAATCTCTGAATTTCTAAATTTCTAAATTTTGGAATTTCTGAATTTCCAAATTATCAAACGTCTAAATTGCTAAATTTCGATGTTTCATTCGATTTAAATTCATAAATTAAAAAATAAATTAGAAAATTAAGAAATTCAGAAATACAGAAGTGTGGGAATTTGGAAATTTGAAATTCTTATGTACATATTTATATTTCCAAATTACTAGATTCTTAAAGTCGTAAATTTGGAAATTTTTAAATATATTTGAAATATATTTTTCTAATCTCAAATCTGCGGTGGAAGTGTTAAGTACTGCTTGTTTTTAGTTGTCTAATACTATTTTATCTTTATTCTTGTTGAATAAACACCATAAATTTTTCAACTTCATTGTTATACAATTCATTGTTTAGAGAACAATTTGAGTGATATATAAGATCGAAAAGCACGAAACCGTGAACTGGTAGATGCTTCTGAATAAATGCGTTTAAAAAATGTTTGTTTGGAGTTTAGTTTTCGTTTTCGAGACAGAAAACCATGTCGCTTACCACTCTATAACAGAATTGCAAATATTATTTCTTATCAACCATATTCGTTCTTGATCATAAATATATTTTCATAATTTGACAATTTTATCTATAGAAATTAATTTTATCCTTTGAATATCGACTGAAATAAAATTAAACAAAAGGTTCCAAAACTTTAAGATTCAATTTTTAATTTGAGTTTGTTTTAAACAAGTTTTTATGAATATTAGTAAAATTATGGAAAATTGTACTTTGACAGCTTTTCATTAGTATATAAACAGTGCAACTTTTTGGATAGTACTGTATATGTGTTTTATAATTATGAAATGTGTGACCACATATCACATTGTCTTATATGATAGAAACCGCTGCAATATCAAAGGATTTTACGTCTAAAAATGAGTCGAAAATGTGAAATAAAATTTTTCCACACATACCTTTATTTCCAGGAAAATTTAGTTGTAATATTCACCAAATTATTTGAAAGAAAATTTATTTGTAGTCAGACAGTTGACAATTTTAACTATTCTTTTATCAATTCAATAATGAATAGATATTATACATCGTTTATTGTAAATCAATAAATGTCATTAGTAATATTGCTAAATTATATTACGCGCCAGTATTTTTGTAACATTGATACTTATTTATAGTTTTAAGCAAACCTATCATACTATGTATAGATTAGTATATCAACAATGTAATAATCCATAATATATTTTAGTAGTGTCAATATATATATATATATATCAATTAATTTAAATTGTGTGTTGATTGGTAAATGAAAAGTTTGTTGTAGATATTATTTTCTTTGTTGTAAACGAATTCTTTTCCAAATATTTTGAAAAATTTTTGTATATAATTTTCTAAAAACAAAAACGCATATGAAAAATATTATTGTATATTGTATATTTACTTATTTATTCACTTAGAATCAGCTCCTTACATTACAACAATTTTCTATCGCTATTGTTCCGTTTATGGCAGTATAGCGAAAGTCTACCGAAGTACATAAGATTGTTGAACAATAACGAATGAAAATTGATATGATTTCGAATAATTTATTATTCGAGTTTCTCCAGTTATTCATTATTCAACCTTCAACCGTTATTTGTTATTTATTACTTCTTATTTACGTTTTTCTTCAACAACGAAATGCTATTTACATTATCTACCTTATAATTTGTATTTACCAAATAATTTGTATTTCATCAACGTTTGTGAGTAAACAGTTCTTCACTTCAGCTATCACAGTTACTTTTATAAATTACTTTTTAAACGCACGATTATTTTTTATACAGTTTTATTCATTTATTCGTTTATTATATGAAATTCGAGTATTTTAATAATACAAGACATTGTTGAAATTGCTATTTAAGTATTACTGTACTTGAGTACATCTTATTGTTAGTATTTGATAGTCCGATTATTTGAGAATTTGAAATCCGAATATTTTAACAATGTATGTATTCATACATTCGATAATTT